AGTATTATTCACAGAGACCAAGAGATGGGATCAGTGTAGGTAACCATCGACAGATGAGCAAAGAAAGATCATTATTTATATGCATGGTAGAAAACTGTTCAGCCTTTAAAAATCCTGTTGTTTCAACAATATAGATAAATCTAGAGGACACCATTTGAAGTGAAATAAGCCAGGCACAGAAATACAAATGCTTCATGATATCAGTTATGTGTAAAATCTAAAAGTTCTGAGCACAGAAGGAGAGAGAATAAAATGGTGGTTATCAGAGCTGGGAGTAGGGCAGGAAAGATGTTTCCCAAAGGATGTTACTTCAAAGTAAATAGAACGTTACTAGTAATCCAAAGCATCCTGCCTTTCACTAACTCCCATGTGAAACCCAACTCACCAAGCTGGACACCGGCCTGTCCATGAGCTTTCTGAGACTGGGGTGACAGAGTGCTTGACTTTACAGTGTGCCTGGGTCATCCCAAAATTCACGTGGGTGATTGACTGTGGCTGCAGTTCCCCAACTCACTGTACTATGGGGACATACAAGAATGTCTGTTTTACTCTGAAGTTTTCCAGCTGTTCTGCTGTGATTGTGGTTACATCTGTGTTGGTGCATTACCTTGATGTGCCATAGTCTAACTCAGTAGGTGGAGATGGCCCAACAGCTTTCCAGAGTGGCCAAAGCCCAGTAATGAGCTATTGGACACCATCACAGCCTTGGGTGTTTCCTCTTTGCTTTTGTCTGGTCATTCTGATGCTCATTTTTCTTTATTCAGATGTGCTTTGGGTGTCTCCTTTGATCAAATACTCGCAAAGCTCTTAACTGTTTTTCATCATGTTGTCTGACTTTATCGATTTGTTCTTTAGTATTTCAATAAGTCTATTGCAAAGCTTGTGTTGTAGAAGTCATGTCCTGCTCTATAGTCTCTCTTTTCTTTAAATGACGTCTGCTTCTTCCTTAATATTATTAAAGTTCTATTTAATAATCATGCCTATGCTTGTCTCTAGTGTTTCTCTGTGTTCACCTCCAAAGTTGTAAGTGTTCTCACTTGTTTTCTTCTCAAAGTGTTGTTTTGCCTTTTACATTAAGCTTCTTGTCTGTATGAAGTTAGTATTTGTGTGGTGTGAATGGTGGGCTAAGATACCCTAGTTTCCGTGTGGCCACCCAGTTAACATGCAAGTGCTGTGTTGTTCCCATTAAAAAGCATTCATGCATAGGTCTATGCCGGGCTTTGTGCTGTTCCTGACAGCCAACGTTGTTGTGGTTAATGTTGGAGCGAAGTAGTATGTGGGTGAGGTTCTTGAGACAGTAATCCTTGAGTCAAGTGCAGTTAGTTTACTCGGGTGAGTGAGGCAGCGCTTAGGCTGAAAGAGATCACATCTCAGTATAAGCACTAAGTGTTGTCAACCCTCACTTGATTTTTTTAATTTCACTTCTGTGATTCACATCTTTACCAATAAATGGTGCTTCATGTATACCAATGCATATTTATGCTTTATATATGTGTGTTCATGTGTGATAGCACATGTGTATTAAAGTATTCTTATGTTAGTTTCATTATAAAATTGACATTACACTGTAACTGGGCTTTTTGGCTACTGTATTGGGTTCTTATATTTACTACCCTTCTCTACTACAAACCTTTCCAGTCCCTAACACTAGGTAGGTAAGAAAGAAGGTGAGCGGGAAAGGAAGAATAGAACTTTTTAGACTACTTCCTGCTGATTAGGGACATTGAGTTCCTTGGGGCAAGTCCAGTCTTCATTGTCAGAATATTTCCAAACAATAAGTAGCTGTCCAGCAATCCAGAAGTCCAGCAGTCCAGAAGTCCAGCAATGCAGCAATAGCAAAAGCAGCAGTAGGAACCAGCAGCAGCCACCTCTTTGAAGCACCTCCAGTCCCTCTTGGGGCTCTGGCATTTATAAGAGTCCCAGAATTCAAAATGTAAACTGTCCTCTGCTGGCAAAATCATGCCCCTGCCAGAGCATGAGACACATAGCCTGCTGCTGTGAACAGTCTGAAGGAGTCCCATGTCCCACACCTGGGATTAAAACAAAAACATATTCACATAGCCTAACTGAGTTAAAAAAATTTTTTCTCACTTTATTCCACAGAACTCCTAAAATAGAAATCCTAGAAAGAAAGTTATTTTCTGTGTCAGCTAAGGTGGGTGGGTTATGTGCATTAATTATTTTGGTGGTTTTAGTAGCAGCAGTTGACTTGTGTGGCACGTCCATTTTCCCTTCCTTACACTTAACTTTGGCCTTGATACTGACAGAGCAGCCGCTGTCTAGACACCAGGACATTTCATTGGCCTAGAAAGACTGCATTCCCTCACCTCATTGAAAAGGAGAAAAATCCCTACTTTGTGCCCAGTGGAGAACTGGATATATTTTAGAATAGTGATCACCTCTCACATGACTGGTCTTGGAGCACATGGCCCTGGATTTGTGTTTGTCTAAGAAAGATAAACACACAAGACAAACTCCTCTTCTTTTCCGGTTGTAGCATGTTGTTTGCAGACCTCAGAATAAAGTTAGTATGAGTACAGGCACAGAGGCTGTTCCTATCAAAACCTTTCCATGGCTTCTCCTTGCACGTGTGGAACCCAGACACTCGGATGCCCACGGCACGTTCCCCCTTTCCAGCTGCCTCTCATACCCCAGCTCACCAAGCACTCACGGGGCCTTGTATTTCTAAAGGGAGCCGTGTACTTCCCTCTCTCAATTAAACATTTCTTTCTTTCCTTGTTTTTGCCCAGCGTTTCTGTAACTTTTAGGTCAGATTTCCTCTCTGACACTGGAGAAGATGTAATCTTCTCTACTCTGTTCTCTTACAAGGCTCTGTACTTCTAGGACAGATCTTTTTGTTCAATCCATTTCTTCAATTACAGCGTAAGCTTTAATGCCCTGCTCACCACACTGCATGCTCTCCCTTGGGTCCAGCCCAGCTCCTGGCGTGTAAGTGCACATTAAATGCTGTTTGGTTATATCTGTATTTTTATGTCTGTGACATTTATGCGGTCTGCAGAGAGTGTGTCTGGGGTGTTTCTGTGGCCTACAAAGGACGGTTTGCTCGTGAGAAGTGAACCATAAACTGCAGGTACATTCACTCATGCTGCACCTGTATGCCATGGGGCTAAGAGCTTCCGGTTTAAGAACGCTTTTTTGTTCTCTCTAACTTAAAACACAGCACACCCAGATTTCCCTTTTATTTAAGTGTTTTTCGTGTTCTCCTTTATTGAGTAATGTTTTTTATGTTTAAGTTGAAAGCCCTACAGTCAGGGTATATATAACATTTAACATAAATGGCAGTTAAACTGCCCAAGTAATGAGGACATAATATATCACAGTCAATGAATAAATAAATCCTGTGGTACTAAGCTGTGTTTTCTCTTAGCTTTTGGAGGTGGTACTAAATTTCCAAAATTCAGCAAAAGGGTATGCACGAGTTGCTTTCAAAGCTGTGCTGCACACGCCTCCTTCACTGTGCGTAATTTCCATGTGTGTAGACAGCCTTCATCTTCCCTGCTCCTCCTTTCAGAAACAATAATAAATTTTATCACCTTTCTGCCAATCAGTGTCATTGCGGGCTGTCAATACTATTCCTCATTTAAGATGCAAATGATCTAATAATCTCCTACTTATGTTGGAGCAGATGGGTGGCACACACAGTTATCTCTGTGCTCACACAGTGGTGCTCTGCATTCTTATTCCAGAAGAGAGCTGCTGGTTAAATCCCACTGAATGTGAGATTAAAAGGCTCATGGATGCAAATGATATATGCAGAGCTGTGTGCTTACTCAATGGTACTGTTGAATAATAATGTTTTTTAAAGATCAATTTTGTGCCTAAAGCCAGTGAAACTCAGAAAGGGATGGGAACATTAGGTGAAATGTTAAAATTTTATTCAAATAGCAGCAGTGAGAGCTGAAGCGAATCTCCTGCAAGCTTCAGTTTTCTCCACAGAACAACAGGGATGATGAAAACACCACTTAACAGTATTCTCCTGTGGAGAAGATGACACCATCTAAGCACTTATTCTAGCCCACGACCTGAAAGAGTTGGGAATATGTCAGCTGCCACACACTGGAAGACTTCTGTCTTTCATCCCCCATTCTTCTTTCTCCCCTCTTGTTAGTCAACATATTATCATCAGAGCTATATTTTCAAAGCTCGCTTTGGCCTACCACCACCTTTTTGTAGCTTTTCAGCCTCAGAAATCTTTCTTGTTTCTTGTGTCTGGTGAGCATTAATGTCTTCTGATTTGTCACCGTTCCCATTGTTGTGACCAGAGCCCTGAAAGAAGAATGAACAGGAGAGATTTACTTGGTACACAGTTTCAGAAGGTTCGGTCTCCAGTTGCTTGGCTCCATGTGGTTGGTGAGCGTGTGGAGGAGAAGCATGTGGAAGAGAACATTGTTCACTTTGTTAGGCAGGACAGAGAAAGGGATACAGGAGAGGCAGAAAGAGACAGCCTGAAGAGGCTAGAACAGGATAGCAGGTTGTCCTTCCAGGAGCACACCCAGTAATCTAATTTTTCTAGCTGGGACCCAGAATTGCCTCCCCCACCCCCCAATAGCAGCAGCTGGGGAGCAAGTTTTCAATAAAAGAGCCTCTGGGAGACTGACTATTCACACCTAACACCACCTGGCCCTGACCTTCCTAACCACACCCTTCTGGCCCAGGTCACAAGCCAGGCCCAGATGCTGCTGCCTTGGCTGTGCTTCCACTCTGGCAGTTTTTGCTGCAGACGTCAGCTCTTCGTGTTGCCGACTCTCGATCTAAAGGAGCAGTGTCTCCGCACAGCTGTAGTCCCACGTGTCTCCTTGTAGTCTGTCACTATATTGCCGCCCTCCTCTCTCACTAGCTTCTGAGCTCCGTAAGAGCGGACGTGCTGATACTCACCAAATGTATCACTAACCAGCAGGTATTCAGTAAAAATGTGCTAAATCACATAATAGGATGTGCTGTGCTTTTATTTTAATTTCAGTGTGTTTGTATTATTCTAGGTTCTTGGCCTTGTCCAAAATATGAGTGTCTTCCAGTGTCCAAACTGTCAACACAAAACTCATATTTTTGGTGCTGATGGTGCAAGAAAACTAGCACAGACCCTTGATCTTGATGTTCTAGGTAAGACCTTAGAACGCTCTTGCTCAGGGGAAGACTGGTTGCAGGGGTGGGAAATGGCAATGAAATCTGTTGATGGAGTGTAACAGTAAGGAGTTGTTCGGGCTTTGTGTTTTTAATGTGTTTGTGTAGTGCCACTGTTTGTTAAGCGAATAGGCTTGTTCTATAGGCCATGATAAAAATCTATGCTAGATTAAAAACTCCCTATATATTCAGTTTGAGGAGAGAGGTGTGGTCTGAGTACTATGAATTGAAGTAATTTTTTTTTTTTGGTTTTTGTTGCGTTATTTTGTTTGTTTTTTCAAGACAGGGTTTCTCTGTGTAGCCTTGACTGTCCAAGACTCATTTTGTAGACTAAGCTGGCCTTGAACTCACAGAGATCCCCCTGCCTCTGTCTCCCTGAATGCTGGGATTACAGGTTTGTGTCACCACACCCAGCTTGAAGTCATATTTTAAAGGACGATAGGTACCTTGGTTGCAACATTGAACATAGACATTACTATGTAAGTAGGTGTCTGTGGACACGCTCACTTAGTGTGTTACAGTATGATTGCGTACAAATGCCTTTATGAGTTCTTTGCTTGTCTTTCAACTGCAGAAGGACAGTGTCTCCTCCTGTCTACTATCATATGCGATTACCATTTCTATAAAATACGGCACCTGAATTTTTATTGCATGTATTAGTCATAGCACTGAATCAAAGAATTAATTAGTATAGGAGGAAAACAAAATCATGTTATAAGTGAAAAAAATAAAACAAAAACAAATTTTGGATAAAGTATGATTTTTCTAAAGAGGTAACTTTTTTTTTTTTGTAATCATGAATGAGCTTCCGTTCTGGGCAAAGACAGGTGTTACTAGTTCAGATAGTTGAAAGTTAAGATTCTTTAGTGATGAAAGAATTTCAAAACATTCTCTATTATAACACGGTTTTGAAAGTTAATGCTAAATGTATTATTGTTATTATGCATTGCTGTGTAGCAGCAACTATAATACCAGATAAATGCTAATGATATATTTTCATACATTACTGTAAATATAGCCACTAATTATATTCTGAAACTGTTTTTCATTTAACTAACCTAGAAAGTTCAACAATCCAAATCTGCATAATAATGTAACAGACTGACTTTTTCTTATATAACAAAGTAAATGTGTAATTATAATGATATTATGAATTATGCTAGTGTGTAATTCCCTAACTTAGAACAAGGGGACCGCTTTCTAAGTCATTTATTTGATGCTGAAGCCTCTTGTAAACTAGAAGTTCTCTTACGCAGCAGCTCATACATGTTATGATGACCTAAAGCATGTCAGAAGTATTGACTGCTATAGATGAGATCTCAATACTGTTACAGAAAAGATTGTTCCAAGCTCCTACTCATGTACTTAATGTAGTTGGGGACCCCAGAGAGGTCTTCCATGGACTGCAGCAGGAACTCTGCTTATAAACAAGTTGGGATTGGGCTACTTTGTGGTTTTTTTCTTTATCCTCCTGGTTCCATCCCCTAATACTATATAGGAGAGAAATGAGGATGAGGGAGGGAGATAGGAGAGAAAAGGGATAGAGGGGAAAGAAGGCCTGAATCTAATTTCTTTCCTTTTATTTCTTCTTTGACCATGGCTACTAATAAACCACAACCAACCCCACTAAATGACCAACAACCACCCACATCTCTTGGGCCCCAAGCATTTATGTACCCTCTAAAAAGTTCCCAGGATTCCAAACATCACACAGTAGCAGCAACTATCTGCAGCTGGCAAAAACACCTTTCTGCTAGAGCACGAGGCAAATCATAATCAGCTGCATGGACAGGCCAAAGAGCCCCACACACCTACATCTGAGACTGAAGTGAAAGCACATTCTTACAGTATTTATGTGTTTTTTAAAGAAACCAAAGTTCCAGAATTCTAAAAAATGTTACTATAGACGGGGATGAGGAACTGAAAGCAGGAGAACTCGCTCAGCTAAGGTTTCCTGTTTAACATCTTCACCTCACTCCATTCTTTTATGACCTGTTGGGTTGATTGTTCCTAAAACAGAGCTTTGACTTTTTTAACTTCTGTTTTAGAGTGTATTTACGTCCTGTGTGACTGTGAAGGAGTGGCAGTACATGTGCCGTTGTGTTCACGTGGAATCAGAGAACAGCTTTCAGGAGTTTGTTCTCTGATTCCTTGATGTGAGTCCCTGAAGTGGACCTCAGGCAAGTGTCTTTACTGACCGAGCCATCCCTCTGGCCTGAAGTGGCTCTTCCAAACCCTTATTTTTATGAGCTGAGTTGATGTGAAGTAGTTAAGTCTCAGACTATCACAGACAAGGACTCCCAGCATCTAAAATGTGCTCTGACTCTTTTCTAAGATGCTCTTTCCTCCCAGGCTGCTCCTTGGGCTTCAGTCCCATTCCCACTGTGGCCTCCCATGGTCTTCTGTGTCTGCATGTAGTGTCATGACTCTCTGGAGGGCAAATCCCATGTCTGAAGATGATTGTATAAAATACAGCATTGGCCTATTTTACTCTGTTTCTGCAGCAAAAAAGAAGTCATTCAAGTTTCCTTGCTATTCATAAATCAAGATAAAAACGTCCTGGGTTTCTAAGCACTTGATGTAACATTTACCCTGTCTGTTCCTGTGAGAATCCCCTACAGTCTTATATTGATCTGTAGAAGGGACATCAAAATTTCTGCAAAGCTGATCCTTAAATGGCTACTGAAATAATCTTATTTTTGTCATTTGGATGTTGGATATTTTATCAGGATTTTAAAGGAATAGGAGAGAGAGAGAACTTTGTTAGAGTGGTTTACAGTGTGTGGTCTGGCTGATCCAATAATGGCTCTCTCTCAACCTGTACCAAAAAGCTAATAATCCAGTAGTTTTTCAATTCAAAAAGCTGAATCTCTCAGTTGGTCCTCAGTCTATGTTGCAGTCAGGTTTGAATACCAGCACAGTAATTCTTCAGCAGCAGAATATAGATGAACTCACCAACAAAGAGTGAAGAGAAGTAGGCGAAAAGCAAAAGCTTCCTTGCATATCCTTTTATGTGGGTGGCCACCAGAAGGTGTGGCCAGAGTAGGGTGGATCTTCCCCACCTCAGTGATCCAGCCAAGCAGATCTTTCGCAGATGTGGCCGGATTCTTGGGTTTTAGTTGGTTACAGATATAGTTAGGTTGACAACCTAGATTAGCATCATGAATATTTATGAAAAAGTGAAGATTCTGTGAGCAGAGTATAGCAGTATTCACGAATAAAAATGTTTTCATAAACCCATTTTCGTACATGAACTAAAAAATGTAAAAATAACTGGTTAAAAGAAATGCAATTGCAAGTTGACTGATAATAGCAGCCTGAAACATCTGTCCCTCCGCCAGCCATGCGTAATAAATTACACTATTTTGTGACATAGGCTTCTTCATTGTGTATATTGCTTGGCAGGTGTGGTATGAGGTATTGACATAAAACACACATTTACACACCCATTTTGGTCTTTATGGGGATCTGGGGCACTTGTAAGAATGCTGAGAGGAGTGGCAGGCAGTTCTGCTTCTGCCTGCTGTTCTCAGCCGTCAGGGCTCTGGGTCAGAGCCCTCTGCCGTAAGCACGACGATGCACATGTCTGTGCCCTGACCGGGCTTCCCGAGAACACACCAAGCTCACAAGTTATGTGCCATGCCACGTGGGTTGGTAGGTGGTGAAAAAGAACAATGTATCAAAATGGGTTGATATTGGGATTGACTTCCTTTAAAAATGCTTTTGTTACACTTTTTTGGTTTGTGCATGTGTGTGTTGGTGCAGGTACCATGGGACATAGGTGAAGGTCAGAGAACAACTTGGTTCTCTCCTTTCATCATGCAGGTCCTGGGGCTTTAGGAGCAAGCCCCTTTACCTGCTGAGCCATCTTGCCAGCCCTATATGACAGTTGTCTGCACTCAGGAAGATTCTGGTGTCTCTATATCCTTTCCTCATCAACTCCTCCATGACATGCAATACAAAATGTCTCCATCAGGTGTTACAGGAGAAAAACACTTACAAATGTCCTCTAGGCCATTCTTTGACTGGAGACCTTCAGCAAAGGACAAGTCAGTCTCCTCAGTTCTTCTTTGTTGTCCAGAGCTTGGACCTACGCAGACATCATTGCTCAATTGCCTCAAATGGGATTTTTCACCCTAAGTCTGCATTTAAGATTCCTCTTTTAGGTAGTTAGCAAATTGAGGGCAGGCATAATCCAACTTACTTTGAGAGATTTTATTCAGCATCTTTCTTTCGGAAGTTGGAGTAACACGATTGCGAATGCCTGTGTAAGCATCCCTGGTTCTGACGCTCTTGTGGGCTTTTGCAGGGGATGTTCCCTTACACCTCAGGATAAGGGAAACTTCGGATGCAGGTCAGCCAGTTGTGTTTTCTCACCCTGAAAGTGAAGAGGTAAGTTACATTCTGTGTGTCTGTCTGTCTTTTCATAGGATGTATTTGTGATATATAAAAAGTCGGGGAGATCAAGTCAAGCTTGCTTGTGCACAGGACATACATATACTTATATGTCTCTCTCTATATATATATGTCTATCTATCTGCCTACATATATCTATCTATCTATCTATCTATCTATCTATCTATCTATCTATCTATCTATCTCTATATATATATATAGATATATATATATATATATAGAGAGAGAGAGATAGATAGATAGATATAGATATCTATATCTATATCTATATCTATATCTATATATATATATATATATATAGAGAGAGAGAGAGAGAGAGAGAGAGACAAAGGCTTGATTTAAGCCATGCGGCATGTCCTGCACTAGGCCATAAGAGTGGATTCCCAAACTCGCAGTTCAAAGAATGGACACTTGACTTCCCAGCAGTTTTCTTCCTATCATGAGAACTTACAACATTCTCATCTTGCTGGCCAGCAACTTCTGCCTGCTCAGTATTACACCTTCAGCTGGTGTTCGAAAGAAGAGAAGCTGGTGTGCAAAGGTGTGCACACGGAGTCCCCAGTCAGAAGGGATGAGATGTTCCTAGTCTTTGCTTAATGAATATGACTGGGGAGTAGATTGGAAGACTGGTAGGGTTTTATTAGCCAGCATCATAAGGGATAAAACTGATGGATATTATGAGTCACCAATATATGACATTTTTAAGGATAAAACGTGTTATTACAATGTCTTCTGAAAACAGACATGAAATCGGTCACGTGTATCTGTTTCCTGCTTAGTCTTTGCCGTTTACCTTGGAAACCCAGTGTGTCATCTTTGACGTAGTTTTCACTCCCCCTTTTCCTAGGACATGAACCCTGTTTCCTAGGAGCTTCTGTCCTCCGCTCTAGCCCTGTCTCAGCGGACTGGACTGTCCACTATGACAGCTGCCCTGCTCACTTCCGTTCACGCCTCTGATCTGTGTGAACAAGAAAGTAAAAGAACCACGTCTGGTTAATGCCATGAATAAAGTGAGAGCTGCTTTGACTAGTGGTGGACAGGCAGCGCCTCTTTGAGAGGTGCCCTGTGGTGGCGCACAGCGCCTCTCCCTGTCTCGGGGTCAGCAATGGCGTGCAGCTGCTGGAGTGTGACCTTTGAGTGAATCAGTGTAGTGCTTATCCTTGTTTTCGTCCTCTCTGCCTTCCAGGATTAAATTTCCTTTCCACTTTTCCTTTAAAGAACTTTCAGATAAGCAAAGCCACAACTCTTTATTGCTTTCATATTAAAGTATGGTAACCTCAACTATCAAAAATATATTTTCAACATACAGTATATGAAAAAGTTCAAAATGATATTTTTTAAAAAAATTATGCACATTTAAATGAATTCCAAGGGCAGAATATTTAAAGGTATTCTATGGTGATTCCTTTCAGATAATAGTATTTACTATGAATTTAATTATGAGTCGAGATTTTAAGGTATTTCTATCTGTTCATTATTGCTTTTTTCCTTTAAAATACTCCAAAGATAAGAAGCATATTAAACTAGAGGCATGTCATTTAACAGAGAGTTTATAACAAATTACCCAAAGACAATATTTATTTTAAAAGTAGCGTTTGTGGGATTTTTGGAGTTTGTGTTTCTGTGTCCTGATCTATATGTGTGAATACTGGTTCTCATTGTTTCTACATGACAGTACTGAGGGTCCCAAAACAGCCTCAGTCATTTTAGCTAGGCTAGTTTTAGTGAAGTTTCTTCAAAAAATAATGATAAAAGTCACATGTTCATCAATGTTAAATGTGAAGTCTTCTGATCAGTTTTACTCGGACATTGTCACGAATAAGAAAGCATATAATACCTAGGTCCTTGTTCTCCAGCCATTGGAGCCATTACTTGCTATTCTGAGACTGCAGACATTATTATTGGTCATTTTTTAATAATAGTGGTCACAGGACCATACACCAGTCAGGCCTTTATTTATATGAGTTCTGTCCGCATATCAACTCAACGTGATATGTAGAGAATCCCCATATTGCATTTGAGGAAACTGAAACTTGAGGAAGCTGAATAATTTCCCCAGGACTGTGACAGAGCTAGAAAATTGTGAAATAGTAAAAGTCTAGTCTGTTCTTTACAGATACTGATCCCTTTACATTTTGTCAGCCTCTGGCTCCCATATTAATAGCTCCAACTTCTAAGAGCCTGGCACAACACTTAGGTACATTAGCACCATTTCCTACCTGATTCCCATGGCATCCTTGTGAAGCAGGTTATTCTTTTTTACCCCATAGTTGAGTCACAGTGAGGAAGTTTGTTCAGGATAGTATTAGAAGGCACCGGTACACTCAGCATTCACGCAACCCACACTCTCTCTTCCCAGTTCAGTTTTTGCTTGACTTTCATTGCAGGCCAGGTGGATGTGTCTAGAGTGCATGTGATCTGGCCTGCAGGTCACCTCTTCTTTGAGCAGCACAGAGCCCTGGAGGAGAGGCTGAGGAAAATCTGTCCCTCAGTTTCTGTTGCAAGGACAGCCATGCGACAGGTCACAGATCTTGACCTGATCAAACTATCCCTGGAAATTGTGTCCAGAATATGGCAGGATATATTTTTCTGAGAAATTTCCCAAGATATGTGCTAACAGTCACAAAAAAAAAAAAAAAAAAAAAAAAAAAAAAAAAAAAAACAACTCTGAAACTCTGAAGGGATGGAAAAGCCCAGAATCAGAGCCATTGCCAACCTGCCACTAAGAGGAACCCAAAAACAATTTCCCGAAGCTCTTGAATCTTTCTCTCCATCTGAATGTTGATTTCATGGTGAGAGGGTTAAATGTGATACATGGAACTGCACTGGAAAATGCCAACTAGATCAGAGCTGCCTTTCTTGCCTTTAAAACTTGCTTTCTAAAAGTGTTCTAGCCACGAAATGCCTTTCCTTTCCACTCGTTAAAGGTCTGGGTCCATTTACGCCCTTACCCTTACATGGCATTAAATAAATGTTACTCTCCTGGCACCTACAGTTCAGGGTTGCAGGATGTGAGTTATAAAGTCAGGATCCCACCTTCGGTATTAATGATATTTCTGGATATTACAGAGCTGTAGTGAGCCCTGGAACCTGCCTGTAGCTATGATGAATCTGGCCTGCTGATAACATCCTCCCCCAACACACACACAGACACACACACACACACACACACACACACACACACACACGTACATTTTGCTTCTGAAAGTTGAACTCTCCAGTAATGTTTAGCTTTCAGAAGAGATGAACACCACAGTGGTGGGGATTTAGTAAAGGGTGTGGGCTCTGAATGTAAGGCATCATTTGAAAAGTTAGAAGGGCTTGTGATACCAGTTAAGAAGAGCTAATGGACGAAAAGGGGGACATAACAACAGACACTGAGGAAATCCAAAAAATCATTAGGTCTTACTACAAAAGCATAAACGCCACAAAATTTGAAAATCTAAATGAAATGGACAGTTTTCTTGACAGAGTCCATTTGCCAAAATTAAATCAAGATCAGGTAAATAGATTGAATAGTCCTACATCCCCCAAGGAAATAGAAGCAGTCATCAAAAGTCTCCCTTCCAAAAAAAGCACAGGGCCAGTTGGTTTCAGCGCAGAATTCTACCAGACCTTTAAAGAAGAACTAACCCCAATTGTCTTAAAAAAAATTCCACAAAATAGAAACAGAAGGAACATTACCAAACTCATTCTGTGAAGCCACAGTCACCTTGATACCTAAACCACACAAAGACCCAACAGAAAAAGAGAATTCAGACCTGTCTGTCTTATGAACATTGATGCAAAAGTATTCAATAACATACTTGTAAACCGAATCCAAGAACACATCAAAGATATCATCCACCATGACCAAGGAGGCTTCATCCCAGGCATGCAGGGATGGTTCTATATACAGAAATGCATCATGTAATCTACCATATAAACAAACTGAAGGAGAAAAACCATATGATCATCTCTTTAGATACTGAAAAAGCATTTGACAAAATTCAACACCCGTTCATGTTTAAAGTCTTGGAGAGATCAGGGATACAAGGAACATACCTAAACATAGTAAAGGCAATATACAGCAAGCCTATAGCCAACATCAAACTAAATGGAGATAAACTTAAATCAATCCCACTGAAATCAAGGACAAGGCAAGGCTGCCCACTGTCTCCATATCTCTTCCAAATAGTACTTGAAGTCCTAGCTAGAGCAATAAGACAACTAAAGGAGATCAAGGGGATACAAATTGGAAAGGAAGAAGTCAAAGTATCACTCTTTGCAGATGATATGATAGTATACATGAACGACCACAAAAATTCAACCAGAGAGCTCCTACAGCTGATAAACACCTTCAGCAAAGTGGCTGGATACAAAATTAACTAAAAAAATAAAAAAAAATAAAAATCAGAAGCCCTCCTGTGTACCAAAGACAGAAGGGTCGAGAAAGAAATTAGGGAAACAACACCCTTCACAATACCCACTAATAACATAAAGTACCTTGGAGTGACTCTAACCAAGCAAGTGAAAAACCTGTTTGAAAAAAACTTCAAGTCTCTGAAGAAAGAAATTGAAGAAGATATCAGAAGATCGAAAGATCTCCCATGCTTATAGATTGGTAGGTTTGACATAGTGAAAATGGCCATCCTGCCAAAAGTAATCTACAGATTCAATGCAATTCCTATCAAAAAACCAACACAATGTTTTACAGACCTTGAAAGAAAAATTCTCAACTTCATATGGGAAAATAAAAAATGCAGAATTGCCAAAATGATCCTGTTCAACAACAGATCATCTGGAGGTATCTCCATCCCTGATCTCAGGCTGTACTACAGAGTAATAAAAAACTGCATGGTACTGGCATAGAAACAGAATGGTGGATCATTGAAATTGAAGAGAAGACCCAGAAATAAACCCACACACCAACGGATACTTGATTTTTGACAAAGAAGCCAAAACCATACAACATAAAAGAGACAGCATCTTCAACAAATGGTGCCGGGCCAACTGGGTGTCTACATGCAGAAAAATGCAAACAGATCCCTATTTATCACCCTGCACAAAACTAAAGTCCAAGTGGATCAAAGACCTCAACATAAAACCAGAAACACTAAATCAGTTAGAAGAAAAAGTGGGGAAGAGCCTTGAATTCATTGGCACAGGCTCTAAGATCAACAACCAATAAATGGGACCTCATGAAACTAAAAAGCTTCTGTAAAGCAAAGGACACTGTTGTCAGAACAAAACAACAGCCTACAAACTGGGAAAGGATTTTCACCAACCCTATGTCTGACAGAGGTCTAATATCCAGAATATATAAAGAACTAAAGAAGTTAAAAAGCAACAAATCAAGTACTCCAATAAAAAAAATGGAGTAGAGAGCTAAACAGAGAATTCTCTGTAGAAGAATATGGAATGGCAGAGAAACACTTAAAGAAATGCTCAATGTCCTTAGTTATTAGGGAAATGCAAATCAAAACAACACTGAGATTTCACCTTACACCCATCAGAATGGCTAAGATTAAAAACTCAAGTGACAACACATGCTAGAGAGGATGTGGAGAAAGGGGACTCCTCCCCCATTGCTGGGGGGAATGTAAACTTGTACAACCACTCTGGAAATCAGTCTGGTGCATTCTCAGACCATTAAGAATAGCGCTTCCTCAAGATCCAGCTATACCACTCCTAGGCATGTATCTAAAATATACTCAAGTACACAACAAGGACATTTGCTCAACCATGTTCATAACAGCTTTATTCATAATAGCCAGAAGCTGGAAACAACCCAGATGCCCCTCAGCTGAGGAATGGATACAGAAATTGTGGTACATCTATACAATGGAATATTACTCAGCAATAAAACACAAGGAAATCATGAAATTTGCCAGCAAATGGTGGGATCCAGAAAAGATCATCCTGAGTGAGGTATTCCAGAAGCAGAAAGACACATATGGTATAGACCCACTTAAAAGTGGATATTAGATATATAATATAGGATAAACAGTAAAATCTGTACACCTAAAGAAGCTGAACAAGAAGAAGGATCCTGGGTAGGAGGATCAATCCTCACTCAGAAAGACAAACATGGACATTGGAGGAAGGAGAGAACAGGAAGCAGGAAGAGGGCCTCTGAAAGACTCTACCTAACAGGGTATAAAAGCAGATGCTGAGACTCATAGCCAAACTTTGGGCAGAATGTGGGGAATCTTAGGAAAGAAGGGGATATAGTAAGACCTGGAGGGGACAGGAGCTCTATAGGGAGAGCAACAACCAAAAAATCTGGGCCCAGGGGTCTTTTCTGAAACTGATATTCCAACCAAGGACCATGCATGGAGATGACCTAGAACCCTGCTCAGATGCAGCCCATGACAGCTCAATCTCCAAGTGGGTTCCCTAGTAAGGGGAACAGGGACTGTCTCAGTGGCTGGCTCTTTGATCACCTCCCCCTGAAAGGGGAGCAGCCTTATCAGGCCACAGAGGAGGACAATGCAACCAGTCCTGATGAGACCTGATAGACTAGGGTCAGAGGGAAGGGGAGGAGGACCTCCCTATCAGTGGACTTGGAGAAGGGCATGAGAGGAAATGGGGGAGGGAGGGTGAGATGGGGAGGTTATAAAGGAGAGGGCTACAGTTGCCATACAAAGTGAATAAAGTATAATTAACATATAAAAGATAAAAATTTGATTTTATAAAAAGAAGAGCTAATGGTTGCTACCTACCAAGTGAATGGGCCAAACTTCTGCCATGTGCCTCAGTTAGGAAAGAAGACGAAATGAAACACAGAATGAATGTTGTAACAACCAGAGAATGCAGTAGCAGGACAGATGGTAGGTGCTTTGAATTCAGAACTCTGAATATCATAGCATCACCTCATGCTGGTGGCATTGCAATTGTTGACCTTTGACTGAGACTTCTTCACATGGAATGGACCAATGACAGATGATTTTTATGGCTTTATAGTTTGTATCAAATAAAAAATTAGCATAGAGAATGATGTCCTCTTAGAAGTTATTCTTGGTGAAGATTTTCAAATATAAGTGGAAGCTTTATTATCTTTTAATTCCTAGATTATCACCCCACTGCCTTAATATGAACTAAATATGATAGACCAACTACAAATATTTCAAAACAAAAATGAAACTAACTTCTATACATTATTCCCTCTGGTCCCATTTGTTTCATATTGCCTGCTAGTGACAGAGCAGACACAGTGTCTTCAACTGGCCTGTTAGACAGATCTGTAATAATAGCAGGCAGTTGAGTTAATGAACGGAAGAGTTAACAGTTTGAGAAATCTCAATTGTATATTTTACATGGATGTATTTGTGGCTTTTATGCTAGATAAAGGAAATACATGAATTTCATTATTCTTCAAGAGGAAATGTCCTCCAAAAGCTTTCATGTAACTGCTCAAACTCCTGCTCTTCCCCAACCCCTTCTGTTTTTGGAGTTTTGATACAGTCCCATGTAGCCTAGACTGCCTTTGAACGCACTATAGCTGAGGAGGACCTTCCTCTCCTGCGTCTCCTGCTTCTACCTCCCAACTGCTGGGGTTATAGGTATGTGACACCATTCCTGGCCAGGCTGTTCATTTCCTGGGGCATAAAAGTAATAGCAGTGACCACTTAGGAGTGCGTGCCGTGTGCCAGCACTTTACATGCCTCCTCAAAACGCTTGGAAGTGTGTGCTGCTCCCAAAGCCATTTTACAGCTCTAGAAACAGCCCAGCAGGGGTATGTAACTAGCCCAAGGCCCCTCAGCTAATCAAGAATGAAACCAAGTCTTCAGACCCAACCTGTGAGGCTCCAAGGTACCAGCTCCTCTCCTGTGAGTTGCCGTGCCTCCTTCTAAATCAGAACATCTCACAAATTTCCTAGCACAGTGCTTCAAATGCAATAAGGACCAAAATGGATTTGTTGAAATGATACAGCATTGCCTGAAAATATCCAGTCTCAACAATTTTGTCCAGATCAAAACTGTTAAAATCAGCACTTTCAGGATCACCACAGCAAATGCCAGTCTAACCACGATCTTGAGTTGATACACTGGGAGTCTAAGCTCCATTAAAGAGCAAAAACCGAGTGTGAGAAATTGAATTATTCTAGAATCACCTACAAGTTTTTGTATTGTGGTAGGCTTATGTCTCTAATTTAATATAGGCAAGTGCTAAATGATTATGAAAAGACGTCCTTGATCTATTGGGGCTCAGGTATAAATGATGTGTGACATAGAGCAAACAGGTGCCAGGAACTCTCAGTAGTATGTAGCCCTGGAGGGGACCAAGAGGCTGGTCACTGTGGCCCAAAGTCCAACTTATCACCAAGGAGTCATGATGTTTTAGACAGTCTTCACTTTTCTAGATGGTTTCCTCATCTATAAAGTGAAGGTGAATATAGAATTTATTCCTGGTAACTGTGAGGTTACCAGGAAACTGGGTAGTTTGTAATAATAGTGGTAGTTTGCTTATTACTATACTGGAGTAGAAATTTCTGCTTTTGCAAAATCTTAATACGGGTATGGTAGCACTGGGGAGACTGAGGCAGGAGGATTCTAAATTCAAGGCTAGCGTAGACTAATGGTGAAACCCTGCCTCAAAAAACTAAAGTCACACTGTTCCATGCTTATTGTGTATTGGTAAGATCAGCCGTTACTATTGCACTTGTATAAAAGAATTCTTTAAATTCAGATCTCATGGTCATTGTAACCAGAACAAAGGGGACTGGGCTAGCCTGTGTCTTTGGATCCATTCTTAACAATGCCTTGTGCTGAGAATTCCACAGAAGAAGTATGTGACACTTGACCCACAAAGTTTTGCACAAATTGAGCTGAGAAGAGCTATCTTATGCTCAGTGCTGTTGTGGTTGTCTTAGGGAGAATGAGGAAAATGCTTCCTCACGAGAAAACACGGGTAGTAAGAAATAGCTCTCTTTCTGTTGGCTAATTTCTTTTATGTCAAACGAGTTGACAGTGTCTAACTCAGAATTTCTCAGAGGAGGAAGGTCTAATTTTTCTGCAACTTGATTTTGTTAATTTGCTGACATTGGAATTAGAATTTGCAATAGAGCAATTGCTGGAATTGAATTTTTTTTTCAGACAACCATCACGTAAATAGCCTCAAATAGTGAGAAACTCTTCCCTGGCCACCTGCAGTGTACACAGCCGTTAGTCTACACCGCAGCCTGCTGCCTTATTGTCTGTGGCCATCTGTGGTAAGCAGTTCAGGAGTCATTGCTGGGAAACAGAGAACAATGCGTTTCTTCTTTTCCAGGCCAAAGCTTACCTGCACATTGCTTCTGAAGTGGTAAGAAGACTGCAGCCACCTCCAGAATGAGTCCCGAGGCCCTGGAATTGCCCTGGTATTTGATAACCATGAACTGTGGAAAATGAGCGTTGCTGTAGTGTGGTGCCCACAAAAATAATGACGATTATGATTTTTTTTCATTTCTGAAGAAATAATGTCTCATTTTCAGATTTGACTTGATAGCCTGTGACTCACAAATAAAATATTTCTGTGTCTGTGCTGCCTGTTCTGTTTAGGGGTTCTGAAGGCCGGTGTGTCAGCAGCAGTGCTGGTTCTGTATGCGGGGCTGACAGCTGCTGTGTCAGCTGCACTGCGCTCCGTCCATTGAGCCGCCTCTGAGCGACTATGGCCTCGTGATGCTGCAGTCCCAGGGCTGGAGAGAACTGCTGCAGCACAGCTAGTCACTCAGAGGCCTTACTAAATGTTTGTGGGTGTAAAGGCAACCCTCGCCACCAGGCAGTTTGGATCTTGCCTGTAGTCCTGTCTTAATCACATTCTTGATGAAAAGAACTTCTGCACATGGCCCAGATTTGCCCAGACTTGATGGATCTGAATCTCCAGGATGGGGCTGGGACATTGATAATGATTTTGATTATGACAGTGTCTTAGTCAGTGTTCTATCGCTGTGAAGAGATGCCGAGACCACGGTAGCTCTTATAAAGGAAAACGTTTAATTGGGGCTGGCTAACATCTCAGAAGTTTAGTGCATTGTCAGCATGGCCGGAAGGATGGGCACACATAGGCAGACTTGGTGCTGGAGAAGGAGCTGAGATTTCTACATCCGGCCTGTTTCTAGCAGGTGAGCAAGCTGGATTCAGCCACTTTGATAGTTTGCTGCTAGAGCCCTTTCTTATACAACATTAAGCATTTTTTATTGCAAAAGAGGGGGTTATAATTCACTATGATCATGACATCCCAACCCCCTTCTCAGGAGTAGCTCATGGTGCTCATGTTTCCAAGAGTTGCCTTTGAAAACCTTGTGTCTTGTCTAATTGAAGCACAGGTCAAGGGCATTCCATGGTCAGAGCTGTACAGCTGTGAGGCTTGATGAGAGTGCAGAGTGCACCATGGTTTATGGTCAGTTGTACGGAAGTGGTCTGTGACCTTTGGCAAAACCTGTAGTGTCCTGTGATGCTGCTTTTTAATTGGTAGCTAGAAAGTTAATCAAAGGGCAAATATACCTTCAAACAAACAACTACATGGACATATCTAGCACCTATATGGGAGAGCCAAAAAGCCAGGTTTCCTGCAGTGAGTGGGTGGTTAGACAGTTATAATCTTCTCTACCATGAATACTGCTCCACAGATGAGAACAAGAAAACTGAGGATTTCATAAGACCATCCCAAAAAACTGAACCATGTGGTCCACTTGTAAATGGCTTTGAAATGAAAAGGTTGATAGAGCAGCTTGTAGGCATGTAAAGAAAGGGTGGAGACAGACATTGAATGTGACTATAAAAGAGCATTGTGCAGGATCCCAGTAAGGATGGCGGTATTTCTCACTGCAGTGCTAGAGACTGAATTTAGGACTTCATGCGTTCTAGGCCAGTCTCTACCATGGAACTACAATGCTATCCCTCTTTTTTCTTTTTCTTTTTGAGGCAGATCTAAGTTCTCCAGGCTGCTTGAACATGCTGAGTAAGCCAGGATAGCTGTGAATTCTGGTATCTCACCTCAGCCTATGTCATAGCTGGGATTACAGGCCTGCACCACTAGGCTGGCTGGTTGAAGTCTTCTCTATTATGTTTTTTTCTTTTATTGCCTCTTTGTGATTTTGAGATTTTACTATAGTTTTACATGTTAATACTCACTGAAGGGACTTGAGTTACAGGAACATGGAATCTCTGCTTTGCTTCTTAAAGTAGCATGCAAATATATAATTATCTCAAGACAAAGTAGAAAATTTAATCAAAAGAAAAATCTGTATATAAGATGAAATGTGGGGACCAAGTTATCCATACCAACTCCTGAGGAAAAACTTGTGGGACTTAGGTTTTCAGGGTTGGCAGAAAACGCCTCTACTCACTGAGCCCTCTCATGGTCTCAAAAGCTTTTTAAAGGGGTTGGAGAGGGCAGTTATGAAATTAATACACACATAACTGAAGGTGGACATTTGAGTTGTTACAGCATTTCCTCTAAATCCTGCCACCTTGAACTTTTCCTAGCCAGTGTTTTGGTGTCGGTAGATTTCTGTTGAATTATCTGTTTAAGAGTGGAACTGTTGACAGTTTTTGTTGAACAAAAGATCTTAACCTGTTTCAAATTTGCCATACTTTTTCCTTCATTGCTGACTTTTGTGACATATCTTAAGGCCATGAGAACACTGCTTTGGATGGATGAGGTTTGTTGTTGTTGTTTTCTATGTAGATACCTGATTTTCCAGGACCAGTGGCAATGTCTCTCTCCTTTGCTACCACCTTCTGAATGAAGCCAATGGCTGCTTGTCCCGCCTCTACTAGAGTCCACTGGTTTGTTAGTCTTTGTGCCACTAACTCACTGACTTGTTCATCACTGCCATGTTCTTGGAGAATACGTTAGCCATCCATGATTCTTTGTCTCCCATAGTAAACAGTTCTGAAATCCAAGGGAGAGACTTCAGTTTGGCTGGGGATGGGAGGGGGACAATGTCACACCCACACTTGAGGCTTGGAGGTAAAAGCGTGTGAACTACAGAGTTTTAATTTTCTCAAAACTGCTCAATAACTGAAGTTCTGTAGCAACTCAGGCTGACCTTCAGGCTGTGGCTTGTCCTGCTACTTCCTGTGCTAAAGGTCTGCTGCACCACTGCTGGTCCCCCAAGCCTTTCTCTGCCAGCTCTCAGATACAGCACACGGCATTCCCCTCAGACAGCTGACTTTTGCCTATGTTCTGTCGTCTTTACAGACTTTTGTTTTGGAAACCGAATTTACTATGTAGATAAGGCTGGCCTTGAACTGGAAATCCTCCTGCCTCTGTATTCTGAGTGCTAGGATACAGGAGTGATCATCATTATCTCGTGCCTTATTTTAAACCACTCTAAAAGGGAGTTGTGTAAATTAAAAATGACGGCAGTATTTGTGGTTTTATAACAAGTAAAAACCAAATATATGGTAGTCACGCATGTGGTACAAATGGCTAGGACTGAGGGAGTGCTACTTTAAGAAACTTACAGGAGAAATTTTGCTTGAAGCTAGGTCATGAATAATTAAAGCCAAACAGTATAAAGTTTAGAGCAACTACTAACTTTTTAAAAATAAGATAAGCCAGTAATAGAGATAAAATGGAATTATTTAAAACACACAAACACACAAGCCTGCTCCAAACAGAAATAAGAGAGAAAATAGAAAATCAGTGGCAGCTGGTATGTTTTAACTCAAATATGTGCATAACTTCAGTGACCAAAAATGTCCAAGCATACTAATGAAAAGAAATTGTCAGACTGAATAAAGAGAAACGCCCAACTCTACACTGTCTAAAAGAAAGCCATTTGTCTCCACCATCAAACAACACTGTCTCACTTTGTTGCCTGGACTGGTCTCTAACTCCTGAGATTAAGCCATCCCGCCTCAGCCTCATTAGCAGCCAAGGCTACAAGCACACAATGCCATGTCTGTATTTTTTATTGATATTTTTACTAAATTCTTTGATAATTTTATACCATGCATTTTGCTCTCCCTTGTTCCAGTCCCTTCTTTTTTCCCGTAACCCATTGATTCCAACCTGTGCTATATCTGAGTGTGGACCTCCCACTGGAGTGGGCTTGACCTACAAAGAGTCAAACCCGTAGAGATGATCGCCTCTTCCTTCCCTAGAAGCCTGCAGTCGTGCATAGCCCCTCAGTTGGAGACAGAGGCTCATGAACTCTCCCTACTCCATACTAGAATGGTAACTGGCTTGCGCTAAGTATAAAAATACAATAGACTAAAAGGAAAAGATGAAAACATTTATCAAAGGACAAGTGAAATGACTATAGTCTAATTAGGTAGCATAGATTTCAGAGCAAGGAGTGTTCCCAGGGATGAAGAAAGGCACCATGTAATGATAAAGGTGCTGTAGCCAAGAAGATGAGATGATTCTGAATCTGTGCCCACATAAACAAAACTGTCTCCCATACAGAAAACATGATTTGATAACTAATAATGGATAGATTCACAATCGTGTAGTTGGGAATTTCATACTCCTCTTTTAGTAAGCAGTGGAGCAGAACAAATAATCAGTGAGCACTGAAGGGCCGACCATCCCTTGCCGTCAACAGTTACAGGTCACTCTCGTCCCAAGCACCAATATGTAGTCCTTTTGCTCAAGCAGGATACTTCCCATGGTGGACCGCATAGCATGTTTAGAATAACCTCATAAACACAATTCTTTTCTCAATTCTGAACTGTCTGTGAGCCAAAAGGAAGAAAGAACTAACGCCATAAAATGTGGTGAACTGACTAGACATGAGCCACATTTGTGACGCAGAGAGAAACTTATTGTTTATATTCAAAATGAAGACAGATATATCAGTGAAGTAACTGTCACCTTAGTGACCCAGAGATGAGTGCAAATTGAATCCAAAGCAGTGGAGGAAAGGGACAGAGAATGAAATTGGGAGGAAAAAAAAAAAGCTATAAGGAAAATACTGAAACCAACTGTTGGCATTTGGAAAAGATGAACAAAATCAATAAGCTGTAGTCAGATTCATTAAGAAGAGAGAGAGGATGAAGACATAAATCACCCAATCAGGAATGAATGAGGTGGCACCAAGGTCCTCTAGTTAATTAAAAAACCAGTAGGAACTGTTACCAACTTTATGCCCATAAAACTAGCAACTTGGTGAAATAGACAAATACTGTGAAAGAAGTTATCAAAGCTCCTTCCAAAAATAAATAACCAGAACAGTGTTAATTAAGTCACAGAAGTAAAAATTCACACTTCGGACGGAGATGCCTTCACTGGCAAATCTACCCAATAGTAAAGGAAGAAACAGAGCTAGTTTTAGACAAAGGGCTTCAGAGAGCAGACAGAGCAGTTCCCAGCTCACTTACGAAGCTGTCATTGACCTGATACTCAAGCCTGCCACAGACAGTACCAGAGTTCAGCCGAACACTTGTCATAAATACAAACACAAAATTCCATAGACAGGACTGGGCTGAGCTGGTAAGGGTCCTTGCCTTGCCAGCCTGACACCCGGAGGTCAGTCCTGGAACCCAAATAAAGGTGGGTGCAAAGGAAGGACTCCACAGTTGTCCTC